TCAAAACAACGCCGTTTTCTCCTCTTCAAAACGGTGTCGTTTTCCCCCTCTTTTTTTTTTTTTTTTTTTTTTAAGTTACTACAAAAAAGGGCTACATAGATCGAAAAGGAAGGAAAGCTCTTCCCAAAGGAAAGAATGAAAGTTAGGTCTACACTTGAGCAAACTTTTCACTTGGTCAACCTTGTTAACTAGCAAAACAAAACACAGTTGTTTAGGAGTATAAATCCTGCCAATAATGTGAAATCAACATATTAACAAGTTGTGTATCTTGTTCGTTCGTACGTTGAACATCAGTAGGTTCAATTATTGCCTTTGGTTTCTACTGGAATACGTTAGGCAAAAGATCTTTAAGCATGGAAAACAGGGTATCGTTTCTTTTTTCGCCTCTTTAGCGAACTGCTCATATATTGATGGTTTGAAATTTTAGCGTGCTCATTCTGTCTCTAGCCTCTTTGGTGATTATTGGCTCTGGCAGGAACAGATATTTAGACACCTCCATTGTAGCCGTAGGTTTCAAAACAACATTTTCTTACCAAGAAGATAACTACCGGTAGTCTCATCATGCTGAACATATCAACTATAAAGCTAAAGTTGGGCTACGAGAATATATCAAATATTTTGAGAACTACATTATGCAGAATTGAATCAGATTAGTCACTTGATGGAAACAAGACTCTTTTTGATAACCAAAATACTTATATTACCCATCCATGCCAATATGCATACATACAATTGCATAAGCGTATATGTATACGTATTATCCAAGAGAAAAGCTACTTAGAAGATGATGATGCTAACTGCTTAAGATTAAAACCAATCAGCAGAGCCACAAAGTCATTACATACACATTACATTAACCATACACCATCTTCCCCAATTACACAAAGGGGTGACATATATATAGAGTACAATGGACCAACAGTAACACACGTTCCAAATTAGTCCAAAATCATAAAACACAGCTGACTACTGATGAAAATCACAAAGGAAAAAGACATACATTATTCTAGTACTAGTCAAATTCAAATATCCATTTCTTCAAACCCTAGAACCAGTAACCACACCGCCACCCTCCTTGTGCACCGGCTCGGCCGTGGCGGCTGACGTGCCATAGTTGTCTCTGTATCCAGGTCCATATCTGCTGCTAAACATGCCAGCATGAAGCAACATAAGGTACAGCAGTTGGCTGAAGGTTAAAATTATTATAAATGCCTCCACTACTCTTAGTCTCCATCCTCTATGCCCTCCTAAGTGTATCTCCTTGCAAGCCAACCTGCCATGTTCATATTTTAGGTAAATATACATAGATAAGTATATCTATATACATGTACATATGTATTTCCCATCAACTTAATAATTAAACTAATTACCCAAAGGCTAGTGCAGTGACAGCCCAGGCAACCAGAGAAGATGATGCAGCAGAAGCAAGGCTATCATTCCTCCAAGCACTGATGTGATTCGCTCCAGCCAGCTTTGAGATTACACCCAGAACTCCAGCCAGTATAGAGAATATCAAGAAGAACATGGTTGCACCATTTCCTCCAAAACCTGAATGTCCATCCTCTCATCACTACGTATATACACATGTAGATGCATATATATGCTGTGTATAAACAATAGAGCATGAAGGTGATTTAGATGAGAGACTTACTGGGATGGTAAGTTTGGTTATTGATGAACCTGTTAAGACACCAACTAGCAAAAGCTACGACAATAACATACATGATCAAGTTTATGAACAGCAATGGAGCTGCTACGTTCCTCCCCACAGTTCGAGCCATGATCGATCCAAACCTAACCCCGGCTTCAGTCTCCTGGTATCTTGAGATCTTATGTGTATTATTCTAACATAAAAAAACCCAACAATGGTAGTTCCAGGGTATTAGCAGGGAGTCTATATAGAGTAGCAAAGTGTATATGCAGTGTATACGTGTAAGCCAATAAGGCAGTGTAGGTTACAGGTGGTAGGACACTCGTCCTGTCGTTTGGGTATTAAAACTTGTTCTGTCTTTGTCTATTGGAATCTCGAAGCTTAGATAGGAACGGTGCATGATAGATTGTTACAGTATCTCAGAGAAGAGAGAGAATATATAATTACTATACACGTCTGTGCCTGGTCGTTCTCATCTAATCTCCCGAGTCTGCTAACCATGCCAATTTGATGATGCTTGTTTTATACTTGTAAATACTCTTTTCTTTTCTCTTTTGTTGCATTGTTGTCCTTTTTGAAGAAATTATTAAGATAATATATTAAAAAAATTCATGTAGTTTAAATCATTTTGTATTCACTCGTTTTCTTTTTAACTTAAATATAACTTGAATTTTTTTTTAAAATTTTATACTAATAAACTCTTATTACTTAACACCATATCTAATATTATTATACAAATATTCACATAGCAGATAACAGTGTTTACTTGGGCACTAGGTTTTAAAAATATTAACAGTGTGATAAATGGCAAACTCATATTCACTCTTTTTCTTTCTTTCTCTTATTTTTTTTATATTTAAATAATTATAAATTAAATATAAACTTTTTTAAAAAAAAAAATTAGTACTCACACGGATATATTTTTTATCACGTAAATGTTTATTTAATAGAATTAGACACAACGTTAATGATAAATATTTATTTAAAAAAAAATTAATTATATTTTTATTAAAAATAATATAAAGTTCGATTTAAACTTTTTTATAATAAAAAGTTATTTTCCGTATTATTTCAAAATATCTAATCTTCTTTTATGGTATGTCATTATTCTATGCAAATGTTTAAATTTGAATTAGATAATATCTCTATATATGTTTTGATTAAAAGGATAATTGTATTGTTAATGGTGCATAAGCTTCAATTAATTACTAAAATTTATGAATTTCAAAAAAATAATACAATTATTTCTATTTAATTATCATTCTATAAATGAAATTCATCACTAACGTCACACCTACAAATGAATTATGTAA